ATGAGATTTGGTGAAATGTGTAGGTTGGTAACTTGCTTCAACACAGTTCTAAAATTTTATAAATTTTTATTTCATTTTAAAATATAACAAAATTGCATATTTATTGGAAAAATAAAAATTTATTTAGATTCTGCGAATAACTTTTTATGAATCTGCACATGCAAACTGTTTCCCTAAGCCCAGTCGTTCTTTTGTTTATGCGAATTTTAACAATAGTAATTATGAATTTTCGTCATTGTAGACCATTTTCAAATGTTAGTCACGACTTTCAGCAACAAAATGTGTTTTCCATGATTGTATATTAAATAAAAAAAAACAATTCATTATAAGATATTGTGGCTTTCTAGGCCTATTTATATCTAGATGATGTTGTTAAATGAAAGATTGGTATTGGTGAGATATGAAAACGTATTTTTTCACCACTCATTATTTGCATTCATTGAATATTTTGGGTGCATCATAAAAGTTAGAGAATATTTTTAATTCAATTTGGTTGTTTGAAACTCGAATATAGCTTTGATTTTTGAGTTCCAAGAATTTTGTTTTTACTTTTTTTAATAATCAGTATTTCTAAGTACAATGCTAAGAAATATGCAATTTCATTAACCTTTCAAAATAAACAAAAATAAAAAAAAAATACATTTTTAAAAAAAAAGGTATCAACCAACACTCCAAATTTCAGAGCATTACTTCAGCTTTCTTTAAAAAAAAAAATAAAAATATATGGTTTGATGTTAAGAGAAAATCAACCTTTTTATGTTTTTGTACGATACATTTACAGATTTTTTTTTCAAAGAACATTTAATTACCTACACTTTCTTTTCAGACGTCATTTTGATCACATCAATCATTATCGTAGGGCTTAGATCTCATTTTGGGCCTTCTTAGCACGAACCGCCCTTTGCTTTTATTTTTCGTGTGGATTTTTTTATCACAGCAGATGACTCCTAAATTTATTTACCTTTCCGCACGTACCGTAATATTTGATAAAGAGAAACAAACTGTTGAGATATAGTTAAAAACCTTACACTGCTTTTTGACCCCAAACATGGCCTACGGATTCTGAATTAGGTCTTATGCATTGAAACGCCATTGAAACGCCATTAAATTCACTTCGGCCTATCGGATGAAGATAAAAATTGATTCGGTCGGAGCGTTTCTTTTTTTTTAGAAAAATTGGTGTAAACATTCATATCACGCGTTCTCATTGACTTTTTTCGGTGGTTTTTGCACTATTATTATTTATCTTTATTAGGGAGGCTTTCAGCCTTGGGCTGGTTCGCCTCCACTTTTTTTTTTTTTTTTTTTTTTTTTTTTTTTTTTTTTTTTTAATTAAAGTATCGTACCAACCGCATAATTGACTTGTTAACTCTGAAACAATGGATTTATTTGATGTTTTCTGTTCGATAGGCCCAAAATGGGTGATTGGGCCGAAGTTGTGCTGTACCCTAATCATAATGTAATAGTTTTGTTTTCAAAATTTGTTGTTCCCTGATTTGTTTTCGTCGATTTCGTTTTCCGTACTGAGTACCAATGCTACCAGAAATTGTATGCCTCAGAAAATCCCGGCGATGCCGAGTGGGATTAAACCTTGGCCTTTTCGGGCGAGAGGCAATCACACTTACTACTACACCACCGGCACCGCTCTTTTCAAAAGCTACTCTAGAGAATAAAATCATATTTAAATGAAAAATACAACCATGTGAGCAATGTTTTTTAGGCGTTATGGGCTACTATTTAGTAAGAAAAATAGTGTTGCATCAGGTCATCTAATTTGATATTTTATAAAAAGAACTAAAAGAGGGTGTACACTTTTTCCGTGAACAAAAATTCATAGCATCGTTGCTTCGATGGTAATGACAATCCTTTTGACTTCAGCCTTCAGTCTAAATCAGTGATGCCAGATTTTTCCTAGGTCGATTCCGGAGGATTCATAACTTTTGAAAGTGTTGAGCGTTGGTCGGGACTTCGACAAGGCACCCATTGAAGTTACGAAGGGCACTCATTAGAATAAAAAGAGAACGATCCGTAAATTATAATTACTTGAATCTGCATATCTCCGTAGAACAAGCTAAATTCTAAAGATTTTGTTTTCAGAACCACATTTCCGGAGAAAAATCGATCATTTCCGTCGATCTATGGAAAATTCCTTAAGCTCGCCATCGTTGCTCTAAATGTAAGCTTCCGTCCTCATCCAATAGTTCCGTGCTATGATGTCGATTTCATCTCTATTGCCAAGGACTTGAGAGTGTCCCCGCTACTCGGACAACACACACCATTCGATCGATCTTCGACTTTGCCAATCGCGTCAACTTATCCGAATATCCGTATCGTCGATTGTTGGTCTCGATTGATTATGTCGTATGCTGATTTGAAATCGATGTATAGGTAAATTATAATTGGATACGTTAAATTCGCGGTATTCCGTGAACCCCCGATAATTTGAATCACACTTCGTGCATATTACCGGAGTTCATTTCAAATTTGGATGATCGAAGTGTGCTCTGCTTCTGTACGGACGCGAAAAATTTCCGAGTGTCAAATTTACGGTTTTTCATTTATTAGGCGATTGGCAATCTGGCCCGAAGATTCTGATTGGAGGCAGGTGCAAGAGCTTCTTTGAAGATCTGACGGAATGTTGTGAAATGTTTAGCTAGAATTAGGAGATGCAACAGTCTTTCAAGTATTGGCTTCACGTGCAAACCAACGTTCATTTGGTGAGTTCGTTCCTGTTTATTTGTTGTACCATCTATCAGTTTTCTACAATTTTGTCTTGGACATCTTTTCGAAGAGCCACGTTCATGCTGTAATTTGTCGAGCGCACAATTTTCACATGTTGAGATCGAGTGGGAACGTCAAGATAGTCATCCAAGTGCTTTTGTTTCTGGTTTTAGACGTTTGATGTCTTCAGTGATGTTTTTGTACTTTAAAGTTCCCTTTATCTGTGATCATGGTGGGTCTGAAGAGTTTTTGTTGAGCACGCTGAGGCTGACATTGCATACCCCCTCCCCATGGACATGGAGGTTGACGGTACTGTAGCAAAGGGTTATGTTTAATTTCTTTATATTTGCAACGATGATGATTTCCTATAGTGATACATATCACCTTATTAATGCTTCAGTATGCCTCAAACGATTAATTCTTGGTTGTTAATAGAACTTCCTTGATGAAATCGGCTGCTTCATGCAGACTGAGCAATTCTGATTATAGTATCAGATTTGTTCTGTTTACAGAGGAATTGGGAGGGCTTATTAGAAACATCTCACCAATAAAGTAATGATCTCCTAGTAAATTTAGCAAATCATTTTATTAAAATTTTATTTTATTCAAGCATATTATTTTTGTAACAGCCAATTAGCATTAGCATACGATACAAGAGATTCAATATTAGTTCCTCGTTTTTGCGTAAAATAATAAATATGTATTTTACTTGGTGATTGAAAGTTTTTTTTTCAAGTTTGTTTTTGTGATCTGAAAATTTTCCCAGTTTGGTTAGAAGTTTCGAAGCTAACGCATGTCCACAGGCCTAATAGAAAGATAAGCAGAAAAAGTGTATCTTGAAGAATAATTGCATGCAGGGTTGCTTCCACTCACTTGCTACAGATAAGTGATTTTCGGAGTTTTGAATTCGTTAGATGTTGTAATGGAGATTTGTGTTGTTGGATGCGGGAGGAGATTGGAGGGCGGGTGTTTGACGCATAGAGCCTGTCAATTTCGATTTCAGAGTGCTGCAGTCGGCGGTTTTATGATTCTTGAGCACTCGCGATTCGTAGAATTGTTGATTGTGACTGCAAGTTGATTTGGCGGGTTTTGTGTTTCAGACGCTTGCTTTTTGGCCTCTTCTTGTGTCTAACATGTGCAGAGTATCATTATAGCGTCTAATGGTTTTAAAGTTCCTGGTTGCGTGAAATATATTTGTGAGAATATCTCTTTGAGATTTTAGTAGTCACGTTTTGTTTGTAGTTTATATTTTATTTCTTCATGTTATTATCGTAAATAATAGTTATTCAATAATAGATAGTTCATCCATATATTCGTACTTTGACGCGAAGCGCTGTGGATTATGAGATGCTCGATGACCCTGGAGGGATCGATTTTGCTTACAGAGCAGAAAATCATGGATTTAACCCCAAGCTCTTCCACAGCACAATAAATCGCCACCATAATTTGTATATTTGATATTGAATATCTATGACCCTGGAGGGATCGTGTTTGCTTACTGAGCAGAAAATCATGGGTTTAATCCCAAGCTCTCCGTCATGACTCTTAAAATTCATGATCACTAAACAAAATGAATATGTTCTTTCGATAGCCGACTATCGGGAGATTAAATAAACAACAAATAAACAATACATACTTTTGGTTGCATCACCAACTTGAGGTGAATCCTAACCGAATACCCTACCCAACCCTCCAACTCCGTAGCACTTATGAGGGTGTCGCTAAGTCGGTGGCCTCTCGTTAAGTAAGTACTACATCAACATTTCCTTCCCTATCCCTAGTTATGGTAAAGATGGGCGTGGCCGGGAATAGCGACAGTCATGCTTCTGTTACTCTTGTTTAGATTGGAACCAATGTTTACTCCCCAGCATTATTCCTGAAAGTAGTCTAACTGAGAATTTCAGAAGAGACGTGAGTGTCGCTTGTATCCAATCTACGAAGTATATCATAACAACGCTAACGCTAACGCTAACGCTATTACCGGAGTTCATTTCAAATTTGAGCTTCTAGTAACCCGCGCTCCGTAGATTCTGCGTTCCGTTTTGAAGTTTTCACGGCGTGCAGATTCACGGTGAATTTGGAAACCATCATTTAGATATTTCTTGATTTTGCAAGAACTTAGAATACTCGCGCACATAGACAGAACTATTGCCAAAATAGTTCCTTAACTGGAAAGTACTTCGATTGAGAGTTATTAATGTAGTCTCCCTGAATCACCATACTGGCTCACTTTGCACGTCACTGATCGGTATCGAACGTTCCTTTCCATTTTTCTGCAGAGGCCGTAGCAGAAATTCTGGAAGCGCCTGATTTGCATATAGACGAGGGATCGACACTGCGGCTGGAATGCAAACTGAAACGTGCCACCGAAAGTCCGTTGTACGTCTTTTGGTAAGTGTGCCTTCTTCCTTCGGAGCTGGCATTTTGAATGCAGGATGAAGTGGCAATTTTGGCGTTCGATGTTTGATTTTCGCTTTCTTCTCCCACACAATTGCAGGTATCACGAGGAGCGAATGGTCAACTATGACCAGCAGGATGGCATTTCGGTGTCAACGAACAAGTTGACGTCGAGTGTCCTCACGGTGCGGAATGCCACTGCCAGGCACGGAGGGAACTACACCTGTGCACCGGCCAATGCAAGACAATCGAGTATCTATGTGCACGTGCTCAAAGGTAAGCCGGCAATTGAGGAGCCATTCATTCATTTATGTACTTGAAAATTGAGAAACAGAAACACCACCCGGGGATTCGGTTTTGATTCATTGCCAGAAAATTGACTGGGTGACATCATGCTGTGTGAGGGTGTGAGTGTGTGCCAACTCTAAACAGAAACTTTCCTTTGCGTCATAAATTTCATCGAGCAGCACGCAGCTGCAATGCTTCACTATCGGGAGCTTTTGATAAACGACCAGTAGTGCAGCAAACGGAAACGAGCCGGGCAGCTGGACAAAATTGGAAGAATTCCATTTGCAGAGAACCCAGTTCCAATCATATATCATTCCAGAAAGCACCAGTATAGAAATCATTTCCTCTCGGCAGAACGCGTGAAAGTTTCAAATGTCTCCAATATCGTACCCCGGTATCATTTCCGAGTGTACTGGCTCATAAAAGTACATATGTTTGTCAGAAAAAGTACTTTGTATGGGAAGGTAATAAAAAAGCTGTCGCTTCCTTATGGCTGCCGGCGCCAGTGAAATGTAGAAGAAATTTAATTTCCTCGCGTGTGTCAGTGAGCAACATTCATTTATCAGGGGAGGGGGTCCTACCCTTCGTAGCACTACCCGGCGGGAGGCCCAAGATTGACGATACATTCAGAGACAATATTTATGAACGCAGTGGGAACGCGCACCGGTGACAGTAACTTGTATGTAAGAAGTGTGTGCTTGCTAGACGATTGGATGGAAATTGAATACGTCTCTTGGGGAGAGCGCATTTTTCAGTGGGATATTTCAAGTTCACAGTTTTCCGTGAATTGCATATGTTCCTCGGCAAAGGAAATAAATAGCTATTTGGCCCTTAGGATTGGTTCACACACTTAGATTATTTTACAGGAGTCAGTATTTTTAACTGAGTTTTTGAATTGCTAGAAAGTTGTTGAAAATTCAAATGACCGTGACAAAGTAAGGAATCAATTAAATCGACAAATTTTATTTCAACATTAAATGGGATTCAAAGAACATAGCCTGTACATGTTCAGAATATATTTTCTAATTTTAGAATTTAATTTTAAAACTTTTACCGAACAGTTCCACAATTTAAAAACCCAGTAAAACCTTACTGATTGGTTTGGGTATTCATTTCAAAGCTCTGGCCGTTTACTCACAAGTCTCCGAGCAATTAGATGTAACGATAAAATAGCCATTTCTGTAAACCCAATTTCATCCGCTATCAAACAACTTGAACAGTCGATAGAAGAAAGTGCTCAAATCCTTTTAAAGTAAAAAAAAAATTCAAGGAATCCAGAAAAAGGAAACACCATCCGCAAGCAACGGTACCTCTCTGTAGCTCTCAAATCCAATCGCATTTCCGGTGTGGTACCTCTTCCATCCTTTTGCTGCACCATATCGATTCAAGGTGCAAATCCTATTCATTCATTCTTACATAAAAGCGTTTTAAAGCCAATAAAGGGTGAAAACGAAGCACGACAAAACCATCCAAGAAGGAATCCCATATCGGTCAAAGGTCGATCTGACCCTTGTGTATGGCAAAACCTATGTCCCAACAGGAAAATGGTGTCACCTCTAGCAGCACACTCCCAGTTAACATATGCCAAAGAGCCGGAAAAAAAGTGAAGCCATCTACTTCCGATACGGAAGAGACGCAGCAAAACTTTTTTTATTAGTCGAGTTGTTTACGATGTACGCAAGGTGGCACACGTTGCTCCCCTTTTCTATTCCCTGCCCGCGCCACGTCATTTTGCTCTTTTTTTTATTGATGGGACTTGTTTTTCTTACGTTCTAATGTTTCGATTCGACACGAGCGTGACGTTTTTTCTGATCGCCCTCCATAATTCTACCGGACTAAATTCAATTTAGTCAATTTAACTTGTCGACACCTTATTTTTCGGGTCCCAAAAGTCTGTCCGCCCCCGCCAGTAGCAGTCGATCCCATGCTGAAAAGTATACGGAAGAAAGATATATTGAATTCAATCTCCATTAATGGCTGTTTATCGTTTCATACCATGGTGCACCTACTTGTCCAATTTCTGTAGTTGTTGTGACTTTTCAATTTTGGGCTTGGTGTGTTTTTCTTTTGGGCGTCACCCCTCCCTTCCGTGTCATCGATGACCCAAAATGGTGATCTGTTTTCTTTTACTTAGAGTTTTTCTGCTTTTCATACGGCTGACGATGACGGTGGCGAAGTTTACCAGGGAAAGTTATTTGATTAATACAGGTGACGGCTCACCTTCCGAAGCGTAAAACGAGGTAATAGTAGACGATAATATACGTTTGTTGATGGTGCTGTTTAGCGATGGTGGTAAAAAGCTACGAAAAGTTTTTGGTGAATGGTGATTTTCAATCTGGGAGGGTAGAGGTCTCGGAAGGGAAGGCAGGTGCGCGTGAACAGCTTAAGAGGAATTCGTTCCTTCCTTAGGCGTTGTGCTTTAGAGTTTTGTCTTAGCATCGGGGATATTTTTAAGCGCTTTAACAATAGCTCTTTCGTGACCAAAACAGCCAACGTATTACTGATATACTGCTTGGATACGTGCAGACTGATTGTAGTTTAGTTGCCAACTACACAGCGGGTTTTTCCCATTTTGAATTTTGAATCCAAGACAAAATCTGAGCATAATTTTCAAAGGGTTAACTTGACAGCACAGATATAACAAAATTTCATAAAAATACTTACCCGTTTTACTGAACAATTATTTGTGTTATTAAATATCTATTCGTATTGATTCAGAAGCAAGGTCCATTTTAAAAATGCGAGCATTATGTTTCAAACGTGAATTTTTCACTAAAACTGTACAGCCCAAGTCACATGTTGGGTTTTATAAGGGATCTGTAGACCATGATTTAGACTCGCGGAATGCTTTAAAACCATGATGAACACTAGCAATGTGACGCTGCAATGGAAGCCCGAATATGACACATTTATTAGGTAAAGCTTTTTAATACTGCACGCGGTAGGCACTTGTCACCGATAGGTGAATTAATTAGGGATTCATAATCTGAATGCATTTACACTCCAACTATAAAAATATTAATTTAGTTGTATATCTCTGATTATTCCATTTTATAAGCATTCAGAAAGTAGGATCCCAACAATTGAGATTCATTTATTTTGAAGCATCCAAATCCGATGATTTTGAAATACTCCAGTGCAATTTTCATTAAATTTGAATTCTATATTTCTCTTCTAGAGATTTTGCCGTAGGATTACGTCTTTCAGCAACATATTGAGGATGCAATTAAAAAAAACTAAAATCGACCGCGTTACGAAAAGTAGTCAGGTTTTGACCACCTATAACTGTGTCAATAGTGGTTTAATTTAATTCTAAATAAGCGAATCGATTGGAAATTTTCCTACAAATCTATCAAAATGAGCACTCTATCAATTTTCAATAGGTCACTTTTTAAAATTACACAAATGTACAACTATTGCTATGGTGATACAAAATTATCACCAATTGCCTGCAAAAAGCGCTTATCCTAACACAGATTTCAAAATCGACTCGCCGAACGGTGCTTATTCAAACACTGTGTGTGGTGGTGTCCGGTCAGTCGTCATCAGCAACAGCAGAAGAAGTGCTTTCGGTACGTGGTGTTGGACATTGTTCTCCAGTACACAACGAAAGGCTGCCCGCAATCAGCGAGCTGCAGCCCACATGAGCGTCCATTCACCGAAGAAGGAGGAAGAAGCCGCACCGCTACGGATCGGATTCAGTAGCTCTTCGTGAGCCGCTGTGGGCCATCAATGACAAGCGCGTCACCTCGTTCCAAATAACATACAGCTCACCAGCCCCATCCGTTATGAACACTATAAGGGTCAGCATTATTTAAATATCACGACAAAACGTTCCTTTTTAAGACCACAATAAATTTGTTAAAGAGTATTTTTTGGTTGTTTGTCGAAACCTTCAATTAGATGTCAGGTCCCATAAGTTTAAATCTAACATTTCATGTATTTTGCAACATTTGGGGTGCAATTTCAAAACCAAAGTCGGTCGCGGCATGAAACTGGTCTGATTTTGATCCAGAGATGATGGATTTTAATTCTTAATACGCCAATCGATGGGAATTATTTCTAAAAATCTGTTAAAATTAAGACTATCAATTTTCAAAAGGTCAACTGTGCAACTGTTGCTATGATAATTTAAATTATCACCGATTGCCTGGGAAAAACGCTTTCCCTTACACAGATTTCAAAATTCAATCCGTATCGCCATACAACCACTGCGTGTGATGAGTGGTGGTGTCTGGTCGTCTTCAGCAGCAGTGCTTTCGGCGCGTGGCGTTGTACATTTTTCTCCAGTACAACTACCTATCAAGCTACCCTCAAAAAACCCTCAATTCACTGAAGAAGTCGGAAGAAGCCGCACCGCTACTGATCGGATTCAATATCTCATCGTTAGGAGCTGTGGGCTCTAACAAAACAGTTAATTAGTGAGCATATCACAATCTTTTTTCAGAACAATTCCTGGATCTTTTTATGAAAATTTCCTTGGACAGCTTCAGGACCTGAAAATTCAGGTGCTTAGGAAGGTGATAAACATCGTGTCGAAGTAGTATGTATTTGCAGCTGTGCGAGAAAATCGTAAGAGATACAATGACGACATAGGGCCGTACGTGACTCAAGAAGAAAGTTTAAGTTTTATTCTCATTCTCATATTTTCTTTAGAGGGAAAATTAAGAAAAAAATAACCACTGTCCTCCCCCCTTGTACCGTTTTCCTGTGTCTAATTAATTGCATATCGTAGAATCTAACACCTCCACTTTTTATGTAAGATAATAAATGTATCTCCCAACAACAAAATAGAATAAGACTCGTGTTTATTTGTATCTATACTATATGGCTCATGCATACCACACATTTTACATTTTTTAACATTTTTATAGTAAAATGGGTTACCTCTCTGCCTTGATCACTTATCTTACATGTCTTGGTTGGGTCCGCCTTGGCCAGCCTGGTTAAAATCTTGGTATAAGCCTCAAAGATCAGAATCGATGTTT